TGGCGTAAAACGGATTTCTCACGGTATGATTATGTTGATTTTCTCCATTTCTCCGCTTTCTGCTATATTTTCATTGCATGTTTCCTCTTATCTGTTGTTACATTATTTTTGTTGTAGTGTGTACTTGTTTATACGCTATTTTTGTTGCAACGCTATTAAAGGTTTTCTTAAAGAACAACTTTCAACTGATTCAGAAATAATAAAAGTAAAAATTTCCGAACGCAATATGGAAAACTGAAAGGTTGAATATTCGGTATAGCAATTACTAAAAATAGAGATTGAAATGACGAAAATGTTTTTTGTGGATAGTCCAAAATTTCCTAGGTAACTATAAAGGAACAAATTAGGAAGACATTGTGCAAAATAAACTCTCAGACTCTAGATACAAATCTGGGTATGAACCTAAACTATAACTTAAACTATCTCCGCAAATATCTGAATAAATTTTCGAATAATTATGAAAGTTATAGTGAGAAACAGAGAGCACTTCAACCAGGATCTTAAAGTGATGAAAGAATGGTATCGAGGTAGTTCAGATCGTCATGTGATAGTATATTACTGATGGTCAAAAGATATAACCACCTGTATAAAAGAAAAGCTCATAAAATATTAAAATATTAAATTTCATTGAAGGATAACATATGTTTTGGACATTTTTCTGTATAGTATTTACTTATTTTTCAAAACAAATCTGCCTTTAAGAATATAATTGTAATTTTTTCATGTTTTCTGATTTTTCTAGTGTAGAATTGAAACAAAAATTTTGAAATAAATCAGAGCAAATCTTACGAAACCTTCGATAGTTCCATGGACTCAAATATGTATATCCAAAATCGATCTTATATCTAGGGCAATAAAACTACTGTAGACCTTTACAGGATTTCGTAAATATTGTTTATGCTACTGCACTAATAACTACTTTGAACTTTTCCTACTATCTACCACCTATCCTGCATGCTATTTGAAAAGCACAATGGGATCAAAATTTTAACGTTTTTCAAAGAGCAAAACCTGTCTGGAAGGTCGAGTAACTCTTACTGTATATAGCAGAACCTTCAACTACTTATTTAGGTATAGTGCTCATAAAACCGACAAATATTACTCATGCACCGACTTTTGAGCTCTTTTAATTTCACTCTTCTAACACCTCCTTCCATATAAACCTACATTTGTATAATATCAATGATCAGAATATAGTAAGTAGCTAAAAATTTTTCGCTAAAATTTTACCCAGGGAAGCCCGAAGATCTATGATCCAAAAATGATTTGATATCTAGGACAGTAAAACCACTGTAAACCACACTTATTTCTGGTTAAAAAATTATAAAAACTTGAAAAGTGGTTGGATGCTTTGGTGCTGTTTATAGTGGCATTTATGTTTATTGAGTTTCAAGACGTGGGAAAGACACATGAAGTTCGAAAAAATAGAGTTTTTGCTTACAACTGTCAGCTGGGGTTTTAATGAAGACATTAATAACTTAACATCTATTTGAAGGAGAAATGCTCAATATCTTCGTAGCATACTCCCAAATGTTTGCTCCGAAGCCAATGTACGTTCAAAACATAATCATATCATCAATAAAAATGAAAGATTTAACGAATAAACAGTCTTCAAGCGGCGGATAGATTTGTTTACATATTTTTTGTCTCAGAAAAACACTTTGAGATGTGGTTGCTGTAGTTGTACTAAGTTTTATCAAAAAATTTTAATACATGCTAATTTTTTTTTATTTAAATTTTTATTTAAACGTGTCTTACAAATAGATTAATTTTACCCTATTATAATCGAAAGAGTTCAAAGAGAAATTCGTTATCAAAGCTTTAATGGAACCGTCTCCATTACTGCAACTTTCTTCCTTTAAACTTTCTTTGCATTCTTACAGTTGCCCGCGCAGTGGACGATCAAGGCCGAGCGAAGCTTTAAGTGTGCACTCTGCGGGCACCCTAATCCGGATTTGTCTACGATAACTGTCATCCAACCATAGAAATATTGAAAAAATTCTATTTGAATCAACCTCATACCTTTACACCAGTAGAAGGAGACCACACTTAGAGGTTATAAAGTCAAAAAATGAAATTTCAAAAAAATATAAGTGAACACATTTATTTACAAATAAATGATGTACTAAATGCTTCAATAGCTACAAACGAGCATATCAGTTCAAAATTAAAAAAAACAAACGCGGTACAAATAACTCAATCTCTAAAGAGAGCTTTATATGTTGAAAAAAATTTACTAAAAAGCACATCCTTTCTAGTAAAATTAAAATTTATTTGTTTTGACAAACTTAAAAAAAAATATTCAAAATATGTTATACGAAAAATTTTGAAACGGTAAAATTTTAACGCTTTTGCCGTTTCTACTTGCACCCTTTCAGCTAAAAAAATAAGGGCTAATAGGCACAAATACATACATATATGCCATTTGAACGATGCATCGCTTGCAGAAAGCAATTTATATTCATTCAAATTTATAATATATAAATGTATATAAATACGAGTATACATATATATGTATGTATGCAGCACCCTTGCTGCCTACCTCCTTTTTTTGCATGCGCTGCCACCTCATTCAATTTGAATAGAAGAATTATTAACCAAAAACCGTGACTAAAGATGGTTTTATTAGCGAGAGCTGAACGTAAATACCACGTGCAACACGCATACCCATGAAAAACTGAGAGTAACGTCGGCAATTTAAGAAATTCGCATTGGATGGCACTGAATGATCGATACTTCCGCTTCCCCTTTCAACTTAGCCGAGCACCTTTTTTTTTTTTGTTTGAAGGATTTCATGAGAAAAGTGTGAAAATTCTAATTAGTCACACTTAGCAGCTTATTGTGGCTGCTGTAAGCAGTAACTAAAACTCGTATAGAACGTGCACGCACATGTCTGTGGGTAAGCGTGTGTGGTTTTAGGTCCTGGGTGAACTGTCTGTCAATGAATTTTGTGTTTGCCACCACCCGATCACATTAGCGCCGCGGTGTATTACATCGAGTTCAAGCTGGTGTTCTTGCTCAAAGGATCTTCATTTGAGCGTGCAGCTTGCGGCATAAATTCGCGGTAACACACGATGAGTATGTGCTATGAGTCGTCAATTTATTTCTACTGTTCAATCGGTCGAAAATATAAAATCGTTCATAATTTTTTTGTGAAAAAATACGAAATTTAAGGCAAATTATTATTATATGCAATGTATACGCTCGCCCCGTGGTTTCAGTTGTGGGCGTAAACGCTTGACCAATTTGATTGATGTTCATATAATATGTCAAAAAACATAATTGTATAACATTAGCATCGCGTGCAAGATCTGCTTATGAGTAATAATTAGTTCAATTCAGTCGGCGAATATTTCAATGGACAGTCAAATTTATATATTTTTTACAAGTGAAGAACAACATACATTATATATACAGGTTGTTAACCTTCAAGAATTTTGAAATGCTCTACAACGTCACGTGGTAGCTCAAAAAGAATTAGCAAACTCACGCCGTGAGTTCACTAGAAGTGAACGACAAAGATATCCAACCAATCTTATGAGATAAAAAGCGAAGAAATCTCCACCAAAAGTTTTTTGTTTTTGGAAAATAGTGGCAAAATTATCTCTCAAAAGTTTTTATCCACATTTGTGGAAATAATTCCAACCAGGCTTATGAGGCAAAAAGCGAAGGAAGCTCCAAACTATCAGATCTCGACAAAAAATCGTGCTTTTTTGGAAAAGACTCCGAAAATGATATCTTCAAAGTTTTAGTCTACATCTCTGATAACGCAAAGCTCGGAGAAATGTTCAATTATGTTTTTAGTTTTGGTTTCAGTTGGTTTTGACTACAGTTCTTAGAAAATTTCTCCTTGAAAACGAAAAAATAATCGAGTTTTTCTTATTACTTCACATGTTCGCTTAAAAAAGAGAAAGTAAAGAAAACAGTATTCCTTACAATATTTATAAACAGTTTTTTATGCTACGACGCCGTTTGTGGCCTTTTAGTTTCACACTTGTAATATCTACCTCCATACGAATTTACAGATGGATGACATCAATGACTAGAATATATTAAGAAGCTGAAAATATTTCGCTTTAATAAAAAAAAATTTTGTCTAAAAAAGCCCGAAGATCTACGATCCTCCTAATGCCATTCTTACTCCTAACTACCAGGGCTTCGGCTGGCGAGGTTGTTTCTTGGCGAGTACGATTTAAAATGGTTCAAGAAACTAATCAAGCTTCCCAGAAACAAGTAAGCGCTGCTTGTGGGACTTTATACAGGTCAAGAGCAAGCTCCGATGTCATCTGTATAAACAATTGTACTGGTTTACAGATCAGTGTCGATTTTTCCATCAAAGAGCAGAGACACCTGAGCCTGGATTGCACCGCAATTGCAGGACGGCGGAGTCAGGCAATCGGACAGTTTTTTCCCCCAAACATTAACCGAAGAGCTTTGCTAAGCCTCTTTGATTTGAATTGGATAAACGAAGTTGTAAGGCTTGGTTGTAAGAACAGCAGAGGACACAATAGACCACAGGTGGCAGTGCAATCCTCAAAATGTATTCCAATCCAATATAATAGACTCTCAATTCACTCGTCTATGACGTCCATATGCACGAAATTTGTATAGAAAATCATAGGAATTTTAAAATTTCGGATTTGGACCGTCTAATTGTCACAAGTTTTTGTTTACATTGATATCTGACGAGCTTGTCGATGTTCGTTTGTCAAAAGCTCACACTTCATTGCCTATTCATTCATTCTTAGCCAAAAACCATACTCTTCCGATTCCCCAACCTGCAATTTGTACGACTTTTTTCTATTTCTAAAAAAAATCCCTTTGAGTTTTAGATAGAGAGAAGTGCATAATATCGAATAGGAATTATTTTGAAGGCTACAGCATTAATGTAGACGAATGAACTTTTTTTTTGTGAAAAAAATAAAATTCCGGTTATTTTTTGAACACACCTCGCTAAACCAGAGATGTAACAAATATTATTACACAATTTTAGTACTCACTTCTATCTTTTAGGATGATCTTCTTCGGCGGCTCCTTTTGATAGTTGCGCTGCAAACTCAAGCCCGGTTCATTGCCATTTTTATCCTTTTTCACCATCTCACTAAGAAAAGTTATATAACTGATGGCCAATTTCAGTGTATCGACTTTACTCAAACGTTTCTCATATGGCAAAGTGGGAATGTGTGAACGTAAACCCTCAAATGCCTCATTGATGCTCTGCATGCGACGACGTTCACGCAAATTGGCCGCTTGTCGCTGTTGCGCCATTTGCGAGGCACACTTCAAACGACGCGTCTTGTGCAAGCGACTAATTCGAAAAGAGAGAAAACATTGATATCAGAACTAATAAGAACCGCCATCGTAACTGTATGTAACCCACCTCTTTTCATTGTTTTCTTGATCACTATTGAAGCCACTGCTATACGCATCATCTTCATCACTCTCCGAGCTGTTGTCATCATCGCCAAAGAAGAACTCCGAACTGGAGCTGGAACCATTCGTCGCCTGTGAGCCTTCGAAAAAGTGTCGCGCCATTGTCGCTTCCAAATCGAAATTGTCGAGGGAGAACATTTTTGCGGTTATATTAGTCAAAGGTGCGGACTGACGTGTATTAATATTGTTGTTGCTAATGTAATTCCCTTCACTTGTTGACTCGTCCAATCGTTCGTAAACACATTTATTTAATTGAATAATTGGCATTTAATAGTTTTAGCATTTTCCTTTCAAAAGTTCTGCTTTCTAAGTGCGCGCACGCGTCGCTTCCGATTTCAGTACTCGTATTTGACTTATGACTTTCGTCACAAAACGATATGGCTTGTGCTCGTATCTACAACGGGCCGCGTGTCCTACACGTGCGCTTTACACCCGAACAAGTGTTCTCCGGAAGCACACAGCTGTGGTCGTCTATTGTTTGTAGATTATTTGTTAGATAACAATTAGTTTGTTTATCATCGGAATCAATGTTGCTGTCACCACCCCTCTACTCTTCGGCACTACCGACAACGTTCGGTTAGTTTGATTTCCTTATCAATTAGCTGGGAAATCGTTCTATGTAAAGAGATAAATATGATTATTATCTGATGATGTTTGTTCGGACTCTTATTGGATGGTTTATCATTAATTTATGATGACATTTTAAGTAGGGATATTTGAGATTATTGATTTTTGCATATCTATTGTAATAAAAATGTTTTACATGGGTTTGGTTATCAAAAACATTTTGCTTTACATATTATTATCACTTATGTACTTAATGCTCGAATATAGAAAGCGTTTGGCCTAACAATGAAAGAACTTTTTCGAAAGAAATATGGCGACGTACTCTTCACCTAGAGTAAGGCAATTGTTGTAACAGTCCTTCAACATTTCGGATACCTATTCGAAATTTGTGTGAAACCACCTTCCAGCGAGATCTCTTGAAGCTGGGAAAGAGAAAGTATTAACGCAGAACCAAATCTGGCCAATATGATAAGTGTGCCCTTAGTTCAAAACCTATGTCTTTCATTTTATGGATTGTATCGCAAGCTGAATGAGTCAAATCGAATCAGTTATGCAACCTTTGCAGTCTTTTTGTTTTTTTTTTCCTAACAGGAAACAATGTTTAATTAAAACACGAAGTTTTTTTTCATCATGAAAATACTTACTCCTGAACACACCGAATAGACCACGTCCAGCACGCAGTGATGAAGAAAATATAGCAAATATAACCGTGGAGAATTGATTCGGCGTCATTTACAGCAACTTGAACTGCCGTATGGAATGACTTGGCTCATTTTACATAGAGATCCTAAATCGAAAGCCTACAAAATACAGCTTGTGCACTTGTGAACTGAAGGCGCGCGATAGATATGACGTTTTGAAGCCATATTTTGTTCAGCGATGAGGCCAATTTCTGCTTCAATGGATATGTAAACAAAGAAAATTTCTGCATTTTGGGACAAAGAGCAACCTGAAGAGATTCAAGAGTTGCTGTTTCATGCAGAAAAAATAATTAGAACGTAATCGTCAATGGCGACCGTCTCTTCCCATACATCGCATCAATCAATGGATTTATTGAGAGAACACTTCGGTGAGCAGATAATTTCACGTTTTTGGCTGGTCGATTGGCCACTAAGATCGCTTTTTTCTGTGGAGATATGTAATCTAAGGTATATGCGGACAATTCCGCTTTGATTTAGGACTTGGATCAAAACATCACGCGTGTCATTTGTCAGTTACCAGTCGAAATGATCGAACGAGTCATCGAAAATTGGACTAAATGGATGGACCATCTGAGACGTAGCCGCGACCAACAGGAGAAATACTCTGGTCTTCGAATAGTCGTATGCCAAAGGATCCGTGGGTTATGTAAACATGGACAATTTTCGACATCGACAAAAATTCAAAACTTCGATACCTAGTGTGAAATTTTGGGAAAAATACTTTTTTTTTTCCTTTTAAAAAAATATACTAAAATTTCCAATCGATATCTCAAGTAGTTTCAGTTCAATCCGATTTGGCAATATATTTTTAAAGGCATTTTTCTCAAAACAATAATTTTTAAATATGCTTGAGTGATAACTCAAAGACAAATGATCCGATCATCATGAAATTTTCTGCCTTCCGTATAATTCTACATGCAATGATTTATCGTGATTTGAACTGATCAAAAATGAAATTTTAATAGACCAAATACTAAAACCAAAAGTTGTGATAAAATTCACTTTTTAAGCGCTGTTATTTCCTCAATTTTTTATCTTTTTTAATCGTAGGTCGGGGTTAGGGAGAATATCTTGTAGTTTAACAATAATTTTTAATTTTTTGTTTAATTCAAAAGACTGGAAGCACTACAGGACTTTTGTAAAATAATTTAACATTTAATACATTTTTTCAAAAATACATTACATATTCTTGAAACATGTAAATATACACCGATTGAATTTCAAAACAAACAATAAATTTTTTTTTTTAATTTGCCAAAAATAAGCGTTGATAAGCTTTTTTTAAACTCTCCCTCGGGACCACTGGACTAAGTATTGCATCAAGGCTGTTGTTAGTTGTGATCATTAATTTTTTTATTTTTATACCCTGAACAGGGTATATTAAGTTTGTCACGAAGTCTTTAACACCCAGAAGGAAGGTCGGAGACCCTATAAAGTATATATATAAATGATCAGTATGCCGAGCTGAGTCGATTTAGCCATGTCCGTCTGTCTGTCCATCTGTCTGTATACATACGAACTAGTCCCACAGTTTTTAAGGTAACGTTTTGAAATTTTGCAACCGTCATTTTGTCTTCAAGAAGCTATACTATAACATATAGCTACCTTACAAACTGAACGATCGGAATCAAGTTCTTGTATGGAAAACTTTCACTTTTGACAAGATATATTCACGAAATTTGATATAGATTATTTTCTAAAGCAACAATGTAATCTACGAAGAAATTGTTCAGATCGATTAACTATAGCAAATAGCTTCCATACAAACTCAATGATCGGAATCAAATGCTTCCATGGGAAACCTCCTCATTTAACGATATACATATGTATCTTCACGAAATTTCGTATGAGTTATTGTTTATAGAAATAATATAATATCGAAATAAATTGTTCAGATCGGCTCACTATAGCATATAGCTGCCATACAAACCGAACGATCGGAATCAAGGGCTTGTACGGAAAACTTTCGCATTTGACGTGGTATCTTCGCGAAATTTGACATGGATTACTGCTTAAGGTAATAACATAATCTCCGAAAAAATTGTTCAGATCGGATTACTATAGCATATATCCATACAAACTGTACACATAGTTACTTAAAAAATGCACCTGTGAAGGTTATATTAGCTTCGGTGCAGCCGAAGTTAACTTTTTTTCTTGTTTTTCTTTTCATAAACGTCAATATTTGCTAGACTCTTAAATTCTTTTAACAATCAAAGGTGTAAACTGATCGATTATAAATGAATTTCATATAATTTTTAATTTTATTACATTTTTACTTTAAGTTTACCTTACTCAGATGCCCGTGTCTTTCATTTTTGTTCACAATATATTTTGTATTTTCTGTTGAGTTGATTTGTTTTGTATATTATACGTTATTTGATACACTCCTTATTTGTAATTTCATAGTAATAACATTTTATATTTGCAATTAAACACTTAACAACACTTTTTATTAAAAACAATTGAGTTCAAGCATTGTATGAAGAATAACGAATTATGCATTTTATGTTTAGTTTAATCTTTTTCAACTTGAAATGCAAATTTTATATCCCGTCGGGTCTGACCGTCGCCAAATTAAAGTTGAACCGCTTTTAGGCGCATAAACGCGCGCCACATCCGTTCACGAGATCGCACAACAAATGAATGCCAGGCGGTAGTATATAGTGGTCGTTCAGTTGCCGATATCCTGACAATTGATAAGTGAATGTTTATTACAAACTCTCTGCCGCCCCACCATGCAGTAATATTGGTTTATTTGAGGGGTTGTTTTTCCTGTTGCAGGGTGGTGACTGTGCTGCCAGATTGTTTTGCTGCCAGCAGTGATAATGAACCAAATCCAAATAATTATGTGTGTGTGTGTTCCGGTTCTGTGCAGGCCACAAGTTGGGTTGAGTGTAAGTTAATTTCGACAATGATGGCGGCAAACTTCAAGAAATGAACTTACTGGGCGGAGCTTAGCTGTGCCAATCGGAGAGTGATTCGTGTGCTTAGTGAAGGAATGCTATTGTTTTTATTTTTATTTTATTTTTTTACTTTTGAAAGGTGTCAAAGCTCAATACGACAAGTGGTGCTATGTAATGCTTAGACGTATGGGTATAAATAAGATATATCCCTCGGAGGTAACGGCAAGATAACAAGCAAGGTAATTACCATATTTGCGTAAACATCAACTGAAGCAGACATCCTTTAGAGGTACATATACATACATGCACACATATGAGTTTATCATATATATATATATAAATTTTCCACGACCTCCGCCAGAGGAAAGAGGACCACATAGAGATTTAAAAAATAAGCAATTAAATAATATTTTACATCTTTTATAAAATACTTTTTATCCAAATATGCGATTTTCCAATATCGATTTTCAGGTAATCTAAAATCATATCCAAGCTTCTAATATATTTTCTTGGAAAACGATTTTTCTTTTAAGGGGTTAAATGAATGTACGAGTTTCCAAAAAAAATTTTATTGTCTTATTAAATTCCATAACACCTTCAGAAAATTGTCCTAAATTTTCAAGTTGATCCGAGTTGATAGTTTCGGAGATAGAGCCTTGAGAACTTGTGAGCTCGAGGCTAGCTAGGCTAAGTGCGTCGCCTTTAAACGTGTTTTTCCCGAAACTGTGTTTCTGAAGTCAGTTCGCAAGACTTCTAATTAAGAAATTCTACACAGATCTTTGAGATACTTTTCTTAAAGACTTGGACGAATGATTTTTTTCGATTACAACTATTATATTTGAAAAAAATGTCGCGAAATTTTCGTTTTTTTTGTTGTAAAAATGTCAGCTAAAAATGCAATTTTCAGTTTCTTTTTCCCTTCGTTCATGTTCTAAGTTAAGACTTTAACTAAAAACTGTTGTTGACACTTTAGATGATGCTGTAAGGATTCGGCCGAGTTGAAATATTTTTTTCCAAAAATTTCAGATTTTCTTTGTTATGAGTGTATGTTTATAACAATAAAAATTTTTAATAAAATATTTCATTTGTGTGAAAAAATTGTTAAAAAAATGCGGTTTTTACCATAGGAAACCCATGTAACCCCTTCACATTATTCGTGCCTCTCTAACCCACTAGTTTCTAGGCTACACTCAATCTCTTTTATACTATATCCATGCTACATAGCAGTCCTTAAAAAACTCTGTTTGTATGCACGGATTGTGCGTTTTTGCCTTCGAACTAATTTGTTTATACAGCTGCACAGCTGCTCATCACACAAATTTTCGTTAGTTCGCTTAAACATAATTTGTTTATCATTCCGATCCGCAGGACAATGCAATCATAACAGACTGCTCGTAAAACAACAACAGCAACGATCGAAATGATAAAAGAACAATATGTAATTTGTTCGATGTTAACCGCAAGCAACAACAAATTGAAATATTCTAATACATGTTTGTTTGTATGTGTGACTGCCGAAAATTAACCCTCATAAACGTATCTGTAGGGTGATGACTTTCATGCACAAAGCACTTAATTGCTTCTAGGAAATTTTGCTATTTGTAAAACTAGTTGAGTATTTCGTGACTAATATATAGATATGTATGGAGGGTCCATGATTTGAGGAGTTACAAAATTAAAAAAAAAAAAAACAAAAATCCAAATATATTTTTACAAATTTTCAAATAATTTATTAAAACTTATTTTATAGAATAGTTAGTTCTTTCTGACATGACACAAAATTTCGAATATTTTGGAAATAAATTAAAAAATGACAAAATGTTTCCTGCTGGGTCACAGCTTTATTTGCGTTTCTTTCTGGCGCGTTTTAAAAATTATGTCATTGAATGTGGCTAAACAATTGGATGAGGAATTATATTTTGACACCCTTGTCACTGGAAGTGCAGTTTTGAATAAGCAAATAATGAGCGTTACCCCCGAAGTGTGAAGGAGGTCTCGCGTATGAAGAATAGCTTAGATGCCAAAGTACAGAAAAGTGTTTCAAGATATTATAAAATGATGTATGTATATAAAAAAATAATTGTTAAAATAATATTTTTTAATTGCTTTAAAAATAAGTTAATAAGTTTTACTGATTAAAAATCGTCTTCTTCTTTATTGGCACAGCGCGCCAATCGTTCTTGCTTTTCCAAGTGTAGCCAGGTCTTTCTCCACCTGGTCCTTCCAACGGAATGGAGGTCTTCCTCTTCCTCTGCTTCTCCCGGCGGGTACTGCGTCGAATACTCTCAAAGCTGGAGTGTGCCTGACCTTGCCAACGCAGCCGCTGTCTTTTAATTCGCTGAACTATGTACATACATATATCTATGTATGTCAATGTCATCGTATATCGCGTACAGCTCATCGTTCCATCGACTGCGATATTCGCCGTTGCCAATGCACAAAGGTACGATTGAGCCATGTGTAGAAGTTCATGCAAGTGAGGAAAGTTCTCTGAGCGCCAATTGGGAATGGCCGAAAACGATTATTTTACATATGACTCAAGCAGCTCGCGATGTCCGGTATTAGACCAAGTATCCTCCAAGTAGCAAAAAAAACATCCAATTTGATATTCGACCTCTGTGCGCCATGCTGTAACTCTCATTATTATGTTAGTATCGACAGCATCTTTTTTTATACACCAGGTAGGTGTTTGTCTTACCACGTACATAGGCCTTTAGTAGGTTCATAGTGATTTTTTACATCCTAAAATGTACAAGATAGAAATGGCAAGTTCTTTCTAGTTTTAATGCTGAAAAATTGTAGTGGTTGACAAACAAAAACTTTATAAAATTAATTTTACAACATGACAATTAGAAATAGTGTACGACATAAAACATCATTAATCAGTATTTCAGCGATTTGAAAACATTGAAATTCAGATATACATACATATATGTACATACATATATGTATGTATATCAACAGAACTATTACAAAAGAGCAACATACTTGTTTCAGAATGAAGAATGCATCAATTTGCAGCATTTATTGCTGGCCCAAAACCCAAAGTCCAATTTTCAAGCAAATAATAATCACTGGAAAGTAGACGATTGGTTCACTGAAACATATTACAGAATTTTTCTATTATCAAAGTTAACCATTTTGGTTTCCTACATAGCCCAGTTTGTAAAAAAAACACTGAATACGCTTATTAAAATCAAACGCATTGAATTGAGCTTTTACCTACTACAGGTATATTATACCGAAAACCCAAGAACTTTTACTTCCGCTAAATAAATTTGTTTGTCCAACTTTAACCGCAATTAATTTTTCACCATTTTCGAAAATGATTCCAAAATCTTTTTTCAAAAATATACCTACTTAAGATCGTCTATCTTGATAGGATTACTTCAACGATAACTTCATCCTCGTATGCATTTCCCCCTCTACAAATCAACACAATATAAAGAAATACACGTAAAATGTCATGGAAAGGACTAAAACCGAAAAACGAGAGTTGAATGAATATGGGATTATTGGAATGTCACTTTAAAAATTAAAAAAAAATATATGTATATAATTATATGTATATGTGAACGACTGAAAAGGTAATTCCACAGTTAAAGCACATCTCACAATCAAACTCAACTATAGTGAAGTATCAAAAAAGGATCAAAAATTACAATCCCGGCGCTTATCACACACACAAAATCTTCCCTCCTCTTGAGTAATCGCGTCCGAGTTCGCAGTCTATTGACGCTGGGTATTAAGCGCAAATCCGCTTGAGTACACGCTTGAAAGCGCAAAAAGTGGATGCGGTAAACAAGTAATAAAGGTATTCCCGTGAAATATATACACACATTGTCATAAAACATAATATACATACATAAATACCTATATATGTACATATATGTATGTGGTATTTAAAAGGATAAATATATGGAACTTTGTGTAGTAACTATATGTACTTAGAAGGGCAGTAACAAGGGTGGAATTGTTTTAATCGCATTTGTCATTAAATAAGCAAGTTTTTGAGAAAAAAATCAATTTGAGATTGAAATGAAAAAAAAAAAACGCCTGCAGAAAGTGTCAGAACAAATCTGTTTTTCTGTTGAGTAAAACTCTATTTATAGGACGTCAACTATTTTTTTCTTTATAACACCAAGGTATGGGTTTATAAAACCAAATAATTTTTTAAAATTTGTTAAACCAATATACATGCATACTTCAATCTGTAAACCGTTTTCCAGACATAGTCTTCTATAAAAAGTTTTCGAAAATAAGAAGAATTCTATAGATCTTCTAACGCGCTGCTCAATACTTACATTGTGACAAAAAAGCACCCGGAAACTCCCGCGATCCGTCGACCAGTTTGTTTATAACGGCTGCTTAAGTCGTTAAACCTCAGTAGTGCGTTGCGATTTTCACAATGAATAAAAATATTGAAGAAAGAATTTGTCTAAAATTTGGTATTTCTAACCAAATTTCGTTAACGGAATCGCTGCGAATGTTGGAAAAGGCTTATGGTGATTCAGTTTTATCAAAAAACACAAGCCTACGAGGGCTACAAAGCTTTCAAACACGGTCGAGAGATCGTTGAAAACTTCGGCCGTTCTGGACGACC